GACAGCAAACCGGTTAGAGAGCGTGCAGCGTGCAGAGGGAGACGGACACGCTTGTTTTTGGGAGTGAGAGAGACATTTCTGTTGGTTTATTCATGGAATTTCAATTTACTCTCACTTGAGACTCCGACTGTGACACAGGATGCTGCCTCTATTCACGAGCGTGCGTTCACTCTTCCTGGTGTGACCCAGCTGTTTCGTCACCTTGTGAGTGTTTCTTCCTTGCCTCTCCTGCTTCCTGCTCCCTCTTCCATCTCCTTCTGTAATCAAGAGGAGCGCTCCCCTGGATACGTCCATACCTGCCTGGCCTCAGCCTGTTCACGGCATTCTGCTCCTAACCAGTAATCAGTGCTCTGCAGCACCCGTCGCTCTCCGCGCTCCTGCTTCTTCTTTCCACTCCTGCCTCTGTCGTACCATCCTCCTCCTCTTCCCTCCCTCCATGTCAGCAGCAACACAATTAACACTTCTCCTAGTCCTGCACTCGCTCTGCTCCTCTCAGTCCCTCAGCAGTGTTCACGACATTTTGCAAAAACAAAGCTTTTCCTGTTTGTTCCTTTGGCTTTCAAAATCTGTTTTTAATTCATTAAGCTTCGGCTCATACCTATTTACCCAGGAGGTGGAGTACTGAATCAAACCTGGCACTCCTCGAGTTCAACTGCATTTATCGTCCTTCCTCGTGCGTCATGCATGGCTTCGAGTGATGCTGCTACATCCAAGGACGTAATTTTCACTTTAGAAGTCGAGGGGACACGGGGGGGTGTCTTTACAGTATGCTCTAATGCACCCCTGGGGGTGCGCGAGCTGCCGCTAGGGGGTGCGCGAGGTGAAAAGTGTAATGGCTGCGGAGCTCAGAGAAGTCTGTCAAAAGTCACCATTAGCGTAGCCAGAAACTCATTTGTGGGTGGGCCTAAGAAAATGTAATTGAAAACAAGTATATTTTGCTTGTGTGTGTGTGTGTGTGTGTGTGTGTGTGTGTGTGTGTGTGTGTGTGTGTGTGTGTGTCCTCTGCACATGCCCTAGCTCAGGGGTCGGCAACCGCGGCTCTGGAGCCGCATGCGTCTCTTCCATCCATCTGATGCGGCTCTCTGTGCTTGTAAAATAATGAATGGATATTTAAATAAAATGCTTTATATTTTACTGCATTAATTTTACATCTGTATGCCAATTCTAAATGTAAAGATTGTCTGCGTAAACCTGAACAGTTCCAACCCGGTCTTACCGGGTTGACGGGTCACGCTTGTGCGTAGTCATAGGCGCTTCCTGAGCTGAAGAGGATGTCAGATTCTGGGATTCTCCTCAGACAGGCTCCTGGATGTGTCGCCACATTGGAGACAGGAACAAGTGCTATTCAGCCAAAGTTTCATAATCAGGGAACATTTTCTAAGTGACAAGTCTCGCTTCAATCAGAGGAATCTTCCTGCATGCGCTCTGGTTCTGCGACGCGCTCCAAGCCCCTCTCCACATCTTCAGCTCGCTGTGCGCCGTACGTACGCGCCGACAGTGAGCTGTGCTGAGCAGTGTCCAGCTCAGATGTTCAGATGGAAATCTTTTCTTGAGTGATTTAGCTACATCTGTGCAACACGAATAAAGTGTCAGTTTGTCTGCTTGCGTCAGGGTAATTCTTTCTATTCTTTCTCCATCAAAATAAACGGTTAAATACGGGAACTATCCGGTCAACACAACACAAGCCCTGCTTTTAACTGTTCTGTTTTCTTGTGAAAATTGTTGCAAAGAGATATAATTTAACTTGATTAACACCAGAGCCAGGCGCACTGCGCCGTTGTCTCCGTCACTGTAAATGAGGGAAAAACAAAATGATCGGATCCTTTTCTGACCTTCCACACCTACAAAGTTTAATTACAACAATCAAACGTGACAGAGCCTGGATTTGTGTTCTGAACAGTCTAAACATGTTTTAAAAAGAAACGTATGACAAAAGTGGCACGTGCTCAGTAAAACCACCAACAGGGTGAAAAATATCAAAAATTGTAGGCAGAGGCGGGCTACAACTTCTGGATCCACTTTATATAAATCGTTTTATTGATTATCGTCTTATGAAAGATAGCTTTGATGTACACGAGCGACCGACCGGTACCGGCTGCTGTCACCTGTTGTGAGCAGCTCTCTGCTGTCTGAGGGTAGGCCCCGCCCACAACGCCGTGGCTGCTGCGGTGTTTTCTTTATTGTGGGAAACGGGTAATAATGGCTCTTTGATGGGAACAGGTTGCCGACCCCTGGTTTAGCGTGACGTCTGATATATATTTATATATATATATATATATATATATATATATATATAGAGCCATGCCCTGATGTGGGGCTGGGGGGTGTGTCAACATGGTCAGGACATAGAAGGGGGTGCGCGGCTAAATAAGTCTGGGAACCACTGCTCTGATGGGAAACAGGCTTCAACACAAACGGTTGTTTTCCACTTGGTCCTAGAGCTCAACCAGTGTCAATTTAATATAGCGTAATATTGTTTTTGGATGGTAAAAAGTGCAGGGGTCAAAACTTGACTTTTGAAAAAGTGTGTGTGGGGGGGGCATGTCCCCCCCTATCCCCGCCCCAAAATTACGTCTTAGTTTCAGCGATAGGACCCTAAAATAATGTAGTTTTTCTCTTTATATGAGGAAGGACCTCCTATAAATGGTTTAAATAGAAATATAGTGTTAGACCGTGTTTACATCTGATTAATTACCAATCCAGACTGAACTTGTGTAATGGTTTAATTTACATGTTATTTAATAAGCCATGAGACATAAGATTCCATAATAAATATGAAGTCAACGTTATGGATCTGTGGGTACTGTTTAACCAGAAGATTGGAACTTTTTATTGCAGGGATTAGATAACACTTTGTATTAACTCAGAGACAACAGAAGAGAGAGTCAAGGTTTAAAAGTTAAAAGATTTATTACTAAACAAATTAAAACTAGACTGACTTTAACACTAAATGTATGGTGTAACTAAGGTGAATGAGGCGGAGAATGGTGTAGTGTGGAATGTTGCTCAGAACCAGCAAATCCGAAGAAACGATTAGTTTTGGTGGGAAGTGAAGGTGATGCCTTCGCGCTAAGCTTTGGTTAGGAGATTCATAAACACATTCAACGCCATTCTGTCGGCCTACGTACCCTTAGCGGAAGTCCCCGTTAGATCAGGAGGTGTAGAGGTCCAGCTTGACCTTTGTGGAGCCGAAGCCTGTAGAAACAGCCGCGGCAGCCGACCACCAGTCTTGAGATACTTCCGGGTCACGACGGTTTTGTTGGCATCTAACAAGACCCAAACCTGGGTCTTGATGGTTCCGCTTTTATTCTGAAAGGAACCATTGCAGCAGGTGGAACAGCAACAGGTTTTATCCAGCTTGTCGTCGGTTCTCTTGGCTGAAGAGGAAAGTTACGGATTGGCCACTCCGACAACTTCTCTAGAACGCTTTGAACTGGCGTTAAAGATGACGTGGGCATAGTTTTATACTTCTGATGTTTTGGTTTACGGTCGAATGAAAAGATGACAGATTTACCAAGCACCACCAAAACCACGCCTCCATCAGATCTGTCAGATTCTGATTGGATCAGTGAAAGTATTGTGTCATGTCTTAAAGCTACGTGAGATCAGTCCTAGTGGAACATTTAAAGTCATATTACTTATTATATTCTGTAGGATTATAATAAAGTAATTAATATTATGATTTCACAGACTGGTCACATCTTATTATTGACTAACACTTTGTTTGATTAGCTTTATTAAAATAGAGTTCTTTGATTAATTAAAAGGAGAGAGTCCATTCTTCATTCTTCTCTTGAGCTGGAAAGAAGCAGTTTATAACAAATGCATGAGACCTTGAGGCCATATCTCATGCAGACTAGTTCTGTGTCAGAGGAGAGGGGGAATGACTTTTGGTGGAAAACAGTCATTTCATTCTGTTACACTTGTTTCTGTTATTTCTATTTGTTGCAGTTTCTCGCTGAGATTAGTGTGCTTTTCTGTTTTTTATTCATCATTTAGGCTTTTTATTTTATTTTACTTTACTGAGTATAAATAATCTTCTGCTTTACGTTTGTCCTTAATGTTCTCTATGAAATACCCCACCCAGCTGTCCCCGTCTGCCTCCATCTTTTTAAGATGTTTCCACATTTAAGGACTCGATGTGCGAGCTACACACACACACACACACACACACACACACACACAGCAATGTTCCAGCTTCATAGTAAAAAGATGCAATTACAGCCAACCAGTGGCCCCAGTCTAAACCACATAATTGTTACCGTTCCTCTTAATTGTTTATTTTTCCTTCTGACCGAAGTTCGTGCAGATATGATTAGGTTAGAAGCTGATTTTGGTTCCTGTGACGTGAACACCAGCGGTGATGTCACAATGGAAGCGTAAGTGAAAGCTACCAGGATCGTGAGTCTGCAAGCAAAGGAGAAAATGCACCTAATTACTGATGGAGCTGGTGAGCAGATGGGTCTGTGGAGCAGCTACATGCACATTAATGCAACGGTAGCTCCATTTCTTCACTAGGCTCGGAGACGCTTGTCGTTTTTTTTTTTCAAACCGACACGGCGAGCTCGTCACTTTGCCGGTAGAGTCAAAGCTACTGGCTGTAAAAGTAAAGCTGCTTTTTACAATTAAACTCTTTTTGAGCAGAACAGCTCCAAGTGGATTTGTACGTTTTCATCGTCTGGCAATCAAATCAAACACAACCTCGTACAAACCAGAGTTTAAATCTGAATAAGGGTTAGGGTTCTATGTAGGCTGGCATCAAACTGGAGACGATGGGAGCTAACTGGCTAGCTGAGCCTATAGACACCACCCCTAGTTTCATGTTCTATTTCGTAAACACATCACTACCGTATGCTTTAAACACCAGAACCAGTATTTTCGGAATGTTCTGGTGGTTTTTTTTTTTTTTTTTTTTTTCAAATGACTACACCTTCCATCCAACTTGGTCTCCTTCACTGTTAGATGCCTTCTGCTTCCACCGGCGTGTTTCTGTCCTGTAGGCATCGCCCTGGAGAAGGTGTTTGACTACAGCGAGTACTGGGAAGTGACCCGGGGACTGTACGCTCCGTTTGACTGCACCGCCACCATGAAATCCGGCAACGCTGACGTCTACGAGAACGAGATACCAGGAGGACAGTACACCAACCTGCACTTCCAGGTAATTGCTGCTTCCTCCACAGCTGGTTAGTCGTTTAACCGTGATTTGGTTTCATGTAAGCAGCTTATGGTGGCTTGATATTAGCGGCAGTGTCGACACTTTTTTCTTGCCTCAACACAGAAAACAGTAAGTACTTTATGATCTAGCACAGATAGATTTTTCCACCACATTTAATGGAATAGTGGGTTTTGTGTGCTAATGTAATGGTAACCAGTAACTAGTGTTATATACACCTTCTAGGGTTCAACAGTCTCTTTTCTATCAGCGACTAATGCAGGAACTAAGGGTAGAAGGCTGTTTTCATGTTCCGCTTGCATGTGGAGCTCAGAGTGGCCGATCAAGTTTTAAACTAACCAGAAAAAACTGTCACCTTGGTCTTTTAAGATCAGTTGATTTTTAGAGATAAGAGAGAACTCTCGTCTCTGCTTTTTGCGGATGATGTGGTCCTCCTAGCTTCATCCAGCTCTGACCTTCAGCGCTTGCTGGGTAAGTTCACGGCCGAGTGTGAAGCGGCTGGGATGAGGATCAGCACCTCCAAATCTGAGACCATGGTTCTTGACTGGAGACGGGTGGCTTGCCAACTCCGGGTCGGGAGAGAGGTCCTACCTCAAGTGGAGGAGTTTAAGTATCTCGGGGTCTTGTTCACGAGTGAGGGTAGGAGGGATCGGGAGATCGACAGGCGGATTGGTTTGGCGTCTGCAGTGATGCGGACACTGAGCCGATCTGTCGTGGTGAAGAGGGAGCTGAGCCAGAAAGCCAGGCTCTCGATTTACCGGTCGATCTACGTCCCAATCCTCACCTATGGTCATGAGCTTTGGGTCGTGACCGAAAGAACGAGATCGCGGATACAAGCGGCCGAAATGAGTTTCCTCAGTAGGGTGGCCGGGCTCAGCCTTAGAGATAGGGTGAGGAGCTCGGACATTCGGGAGGGACTCGGAGTAGAACCGCTGCTCCTCCGGATCGAAAGGAGCCAGTTGAGGTGGTTTGGGCATCTGGTCAGGATGCCTCCTGGACGCCTCCCTGGGGAGGTGTTTCGGGCATGTCCTGCCGGCAGGAGGCCCCCGGGTCGACCCAGGACACGTTGGAGAGGTTACATCTCCAATCTGGTCCGGTAACGCCTTGGAGTCCTGCCGGAGGAGCTGGTGGAGGTGGCCGGGGAGAGGACGGTCTGGAGCTCCCTAGTTGGGATGCTGCCCCCGCGACCCGGACCCGGATAAGCGGAGGAAGATGATGACGACGATGACGAGAGAACTAAATGTCATTTGTTTTCTGTAGCCTGCCAGCTCAGCCTGGTGGTAGAGCAAATCTGAAGTCCCTATGTCTCATTAAAGCATTAAACTATTTAACTCATTCACTGCCCATGACGACTAAAGTCGTCATTAGCTTGTTTTTACTGTGTGGGCGTCGGACGAGCCCCCGCACCGTGAGAACAAACATCTCTGCTCTAAAGCCGATCTTCATCCGCATACGTCACACATCAGGAAGCAGACATCCACGTGTTAGGAGATCGTTTTGGGCCGTTCCTGTAAAAAAAAAGTGAAGCGCGAACCAGAAAAGCTTCTGCCGATCACAATTCAACAACGGATTATGAAAGAACGGATAACGCTCGAAACGCGCGGATTCTTCCTGATGTAAGAAGTGAGTCTCCGCTTTGTTTTGGTTGTTTTGGCGTCAACATCATCCTAGCGCGCAACGATCTGTCACTCTTAAAAAAGCCCGGTGAAAATGCTGAAAAACGCTGGCAGCAAATGAGTTAAAATACTAAAAAAAGGTTTTTCTTAACTATGTGGAGATGTTTGATGAAAAAGTCTTAACATTATTACATTTAACTTAACATCTTTACCTTTATATTATTACAATTATCATTTTATTAATTAAAAATAAACTAAAGCCCTTATTGCCCCAGATGAAAAAATGCAAAAGGGGAATTTTTGAATTATTTTTACTTGGTGAGGAAGTTAAAGGGTTAAGACACAAGATTAGAGTAGTTTTAAAGAGACGGTGTGTAGTTCTTACAGTTAATCTCTGGGATTATCCATCAAAATGTTGAAAATGAATTAAATGATGTTCATTTGTAGAAAAATTTTGGCAACTTTGTAACATAAAACCCTAAAAATCTGGTCTAAAATACATGGGAGCGCCATGTTTCCTTCTACGGGAGCCCGTGAGGACAAAACGCATTTACTGATTTGTAACAAGCGGTTACAAAACTTTCATCTTTCATAACCGTTTTACCTTTTCACTCGTTGCCAACTATGAAAGGAACTCTGGTGGGCTTGTCTTGTTGCTGGAGGTTGCACTCCCTGGGATTTTTGACCCTAATGGCCACCCATTGGTAAGGTCTTGGGTGTGTACTGCCCCCTATCGCCAGAGAAATTACACACAGTCACTTTAAATTGGAACAACCAAAAACCGGATCCAGATGTTTTATCAAAGAAGAAGAAAAAAAAAGAGCGCTCGTCACTAAAATCACAGAGTTCCAGTGCAAGGTTTTAATTTGCTGGCGCCGGACCAACAGGAAGCAGAAGACGACGTGTGGTGACTGGTGACACAGAGGAACGCCGGCAAAGTTTCACACCACCGCAGAAGAGACACGCTGGTTTATTACAGACTTGGCAGATGTTTGTTTTCAGTTTTATCCGTTCAGTTCAGAGAAACCAAAACGCACAAATAACAGCAGCCTAGGCCAGCATTCCCGACGTTCTCCCTTTAGGATCCGATCTGCCGCTCATCCTGCTGTCGTGTTCATGTTGCAGGCTCACAGCATGGGGCTGGGAAACAAGTTCAAGGAGGTGAAGAAGGCTTACACCGAAGCTAACAAACTACTGGGAGACCTCATTAAGGTGAGACCAGACAAACTCTGATGTTCTTTATGGTTTTAATCACAGAGGAGGAGGTTTTAACAAAGCCGGCACAGCAGCAGCGCCGACCGACGTGCTCATCAGAGACGTCGTCACCAGGTTCACCGAGGGGGGGCACGAGAGCTCTGAACTCTCAGATCAAACTTTCCTCCAGAGTTTATGAAGAGCGTAGCTGAGAGTCGGCACAGCCGCCCGGCTCTGCTAAATAATCCCAACCTGACCTTCTCCCTGCTGCCATGACCTCCGGTTGTTGTTGCACCACCTCTTCTTCACTTTGCTTTCTCTCCTTAGCAGACACTTGCTTCATCTTCTCTAAAACCTTTTAGGAAAACCTTCAGCAGAATCTGCTCCTGGGTTGGAAGCAGGTTCCTGTTTCCTCCGAGTCCAGAGAGCATTTCTTTGCACCGATTTCCTGAAGGGCACCTTGACCGTGGTGTTGGAGAAGCTCATCACCTTTCACTAAACCCTTTGTTACCATCCCACCCTACAGATGACTGTTATTGTTTCACTCTGTTTATACTTCCCTCGTTAAGCTCTTCTTTTCTCACCTTCCTGCTCTTCATTCCATAGCTTCACGCGTTTGTTCCTCACACGTTATGTTTCCCTCCCGTAGGACCCACGGGTCCGTTATTTTACCGCCGCCTTCAGTATTCTCCTCGCGTCTCTTACATTTTAAGTCTCTGGTCCCCTCTCCCTACTTTCATTTCCCCGTCTCTGCTTTCCTCATCAATTCTCCCCCAGACTTCCTCAACTCTCTCTCTCTATCTCTCTCTCTCTCTCTCTCTCTCTCTCTCTCTCTGTGTGTTTTCTATCAGTTCAATTAAGACTCTGTGGGCTCCGCTGCACATGTGCCTGCAGGTCCTGCTCTGCTCTCCGCCGTACCCTGTTAGCATGACAACGGCTCTGTCTCTCACTGTCAGCTTGTCCATAACTTGGAGGCTGCTTTCCAGAGGCAGGCGTAAAGAGAGCGGGCCACATACGTGCTATAAACTATATGAACTACGTGCGATCCAGGTATTGGTGAGTTTACCACGAAGGAACGGTACCGGTGTCTGGCATCACATACAGGTTCCTGCTAGCACCAAGCCCCAAGTGTGTGTGTGTGTGTGCCTGTGTGTGTGTGTGTGTGTGTGTGTGCCTGTGTGTGTGTGTGTGTGTGTGTGCTTGCGTGTGTGCGCGCAAGCGTGTGTGTCCGGGTTTGTGTGGTGTGTGTGTGCGCGCAAGTGTGTGTGTGAGCGTGTGTGTGTCCGCGCGCAAGCGTGTGTGTGCGTGCGTGTGTGTCCGCGCATGTGTGTGTACGTGCGTGTGTGCATGCGCGTGTGTGCGTGCAAGTGTGTGTGTGTGTGTGTGCGTGCGTGTGTGTCCGCGCGCAATCGTGTGTGTGCGTGCATGTGTGTCCATGTGTGTGTGTGTGCGTGCGTGTGTGTCCGCGCGCAATCGTGTGTGTGCGTGCATGTGTGTCCATGTGTGTGTGTGTGCGTGCATGCATGTGCGCGCACGTGTGTGTGCGTGCGTGCGCAAGCATGTTTGTCCATGTTCGTGTGGTGTGTGCGTGTGTGGTGTGTATGTGTGTGTGTGCGCGTGCATGCATGTGCGCGCACGTGTGTGTGTGTGCGCAAGCATGTGTGTTCACGTTCATGTGGTGTGTGCGTGCGTGTGTGTCCGCACGCAAGCGTGTGTGTGTGTGCGTGCGTGTGTGTCCGCGCGCGTGTGTGTGTGTCTGTGCGCGTCTGTGTGTGTGCCCGTGTGTGTGCATGCATGTGCGTGCGTGAGCGTGTGTGGTGTGTATGTGTGTGTGTGCGTGCGTGTGTGGTGTGTATGCGTGTGTGTGCGCCGGTCCTTGAAAACACCCAATAAACCAAAAACGGATGTAATCACAGATCTGCTCAGCTGAGCGTCACAAACACAAGAACGTGTCTGAATCTGTTGGATTGATTTGATTATAAAGTTGAATAAAATGATCCTGGTGCCTCTTCAGCATTTATTAGCATTAATTCTTCTTTAATCGGTTTTGGTTAGAATAAACGTCTCAGCAGTCATGAAGTTTTCCGTAGTTTAGGACCAACATTCTTCCTGTTGGACGTCTGACCCAGAAGAAACCCACTTGAGCAGCTAATGATGGGCGTGACTGTTGGAAACGGCAGCAGAGATGTGTTTTTAATCCCGAGGGCCTCTGAGGAGAGCGTTGGTGGAGGTGTGTGATCATTAGGAAACCAGAACAGGAGCAGCACAGCTCACACATATCATGTCTTGTGCTCAAAATGCTGAAAAGTTAGATTTGTGCTCCTAGAAATCTCAACAATTAAATTTTTATGACACTTTAAATAGCTGCTGGATGTTTGGTGCAAACGAAGTGCCTTGATAAGGCACCAACGGAGCGATGTTGTCGGTTTAGTTCCCATCTTTAGCCCCGTCGAGCTTCCATCAGCACCTTTCTAAAACAGCGCTGCAAATATCATCAGAACCAGCTGGCGTCAAAGCTGAAAACGCTCGTTGCCAGGGGATAATTGTAGAAACTCGTCTCGTCGTGCTCTTGAGCTGCGCCGTATCACTTTAGCTTGAAGGCATATTTTGCTGAACGGCAGGAAAATCAAGCGAAACATACAGGTGCTGTTTTAACAAGATCGTCTCTGACAGAGCTAAGGAGGCTCCAACACCCAATAAGTGAGCTGGCACTGACTGCTGTGTTGCTGAGGAGAGGCGTTGGCGCCGCTCCAGCCCTCCACAAACCTCTCTTTATCTGCTCTATGTCTTTAACTTTCCCCGCTTTCTCCTCTTCCTCGCTCAGTTGGGTCTGTTGCAACATGAGCTCGTCGACACAAGTTGTTTTTAGTGAGGTTGCTCCGTCGCTGTCACTTTCTTTTTACGATTACAGGCACGTATTCACTCGCCTCCACTCCCTCTTCTACGTGGAGGTGGAGCACGTCTTGTTTTGCCTGTGGGGCTGCAGATGTCGACGGCTCTCGTCTGTTTGCCTCTTCCTCTCCTCCCTTCTGCCTAAGCTGTCCATCCCTTTATTTCTGCCTCTCACTCTTCCTGTAGCTCCTTATCGTCGCCCTCTCCGTCTGCTCTCCACTTTCATTTGGTCTTATCTCCTCCTTCATCAGTGGCTCCCACCTTCTCTCGTTTCAATTAGACTTCCTTTATGTATCCCTAATCTCTCTATCATTTCTTCTCTCCTCCTCTGAGCTTCTTGTTATCACTCCTCTCCTTTCTCCTCCTCCTCCTCCTGACAGGTACCATTCTTCACTCGGCTCCTGGCTTGGCTGGCTCATGTTATTGTCTGTGTGCTTTATTTGCCGTTCATCCTGCGTGCGCGCACACACACACACACACACACACACACACACGTACGCGCGCCGTTCTGGGTGATATAATCCTTTACCCATTAGGGGAGCCTGGGTTTGGATAGAGTTGCATTTTGAAGCAAATTTGAGCAAAGTACACTGACACAAGGCATACAAACACACACACACACACACACACCTCTACCATTGGTTTACACAGAAACACTCTGAAGAAGAAGAAGAAAGTATCGTTTCTATAGTGCCTCTCATGATAAAAATCATGAGACGCTTCATTAATGACTTTGGGAACCAGCTTGTCTGGGGCGCAGGTCATTCAGCTGAAGAAAGCTCCCACCATCCAGGTTCTGATAGAGTCTAAGCAGGTGTGTAACAGCTGCAGCTTAGACATCTCATGGGGCTTAAAGGAGATGTACAGCTGGATGTCATCTGCATAAAGATGGTAGGAGATTCCTTTGAAGGAGCTCAGGATGTGCTGAAGAGGAAGCAGATAGAGGAGGAAGAGTAGAGGCCCCAGCACAGAACCTTGTGGGACACCATGGGTAAGGGAGGTGGTGGAGGACCTAAACTTGTGAGACTCTGTATCTCACTTTGATCCTGCACAGAGTTCCCGGTGCTGGGGAGGTGGAGTCTCGTGCGTCCGCCCCTCTGCCAGCTGTTCATCAAAGAGAACGATGCAAATGGTTTCAGGGTATCCGCGGGTTCTTAAAAAGTCTTAAATTTTCTTTTCCAAATTTAAGGCCTTGAAAATCCTTAAAAATGACAAATAATCCTTAAATACAGTTTCCAAAGGTCTTAAATTACCAAAGACCCAATAAACAAGATTCTTTTATTTCTATAAAATTTTCGTGAATTTCTAGTTAGTGTTTAGCATTTTTTGTGTACGATGTTGGCGTAAGCGGAACCGTACACGTTCAGTTGGTTGTGAAATGGGGCTATTTTTAGATGAGCATGTTAGCTGGTTAAGCTAGTGGGAGCTTGCACCATGGGGAAGTGCAAGTTTAATGGTAACTGGATGGCTTATCCCACGTTCGGGACGTGGTTAGCACCGGTTCCAGGCAATAGCTGGAAATTATAGCTTAAATTTAATTTTTAAAAATAGCTTAAATTTGGTCAAAGTGGTCTTAAAAAGGTCTTTAAAGTCTTAAATTTGGCTTCTTTAAACCTGCGGATACCCTGGGTTTGATGAGCTAAAGCAAGACTAGAAAAAGATGCTCGAGGTTTTAAAATGTGTTGAGCTGCTCCTTTTTTCACATCTCCTTCTGCATCTCAGGGGCGAGGGAGACTGTTGGCTCATTTTCTGGACAGCCATGATGAATGATGGGAACTCTACAGCTTTCAGTGTGGATTGTAAAAACTGTTAGGATGCAGTTTTCCTCGAACATTTTCACTCCTTATAAAAGAACGCCTATAACAGCAGGAATGGCTGCAGAAGAAGAGCTGTGCAGGAACTGTGTCGCAGCATTGTAGCTACGCTACGACCCTTTTTTAAATAAATCTGATGGTTTGTGTGTTTTTAGGGGTTTCACCGCTGCTCCTCTAGCAGTGAACCAGCAGTTGTAGAGATTAGGACGTCAGACGTTCCCTGCAGATGCCAGTGAGGTTTATATGTTATCAGTAGTGAGCATCTTACCTGCAGCTGACGGCAGTCACAGTGATCTCCGTCTGAAGAATCAGAAAAGCAAGTCTAGTGTTAATATAACTTTTCTCCATATTAGAGCGGCACCAGGCTGCGCCGCCCTCCTCAATCAATCAATCAATCAAATTTTATTTGTATAGCACCTTCTACAACATTATCCGAAGCCCAAGGTGCTGAACAACATCATTAAAAGAAAAACATTCCCAGTACATGGGCATAAAAGCAGGATAAAAACATAAAATCATAAAATATCAAGCAACCACTATTACAGGTGAGAGATATCGGAATAAGACTAATCGATAAAAAAAACAAATGTCGGACAAAATAAAATCAAGCATCTGTGTTAAAAAGAAGAATAGTTAAAACCATGATGTTAGGGCAATTCAAGTGACCCTAGCACTAAAACGCAATCAGATAAAAATGAGTCTTTAAACGAGACTTTAAGACTTGAAGGGATGGTGCCTGCCTAATGCTCAGTGGCAATTCGTTCCACAGAGTTGGAGCCAAAATAGAAAAAGCACGACAACCCCTCGATCGAAATTTCGACCGGGGGACCACCAGAAGTTCCTGCTCGGCTGAGCGAAGAGACCGAGATGGAGCATACCTCACTGGCGTACCTCCGGCCGTGGCTACATGACAGGACGTTAGCTCTAAAGGACTTCGTTAAGGCATCATCGTTAAGTCGTGTTATGTGCAGATCTGTTTTTCTGCCATGCTCACATGCTCACTAGCGATGTTTTTGTTGAAGAAGACACCCGATGCACCGACTGTGGTTAGAAAAAGACCAGCAGAGCTGCGGTTCCCAGGAGGTTTGTGTCGGGGTGTGTTCAGCCGTCGTGCTGCCGGTGCAGCAACACCGTCTCACGGAAGCGGTGCTGTGTTTGCTCCGTCGTACAGAGTTCTGAGTTTAGATCGGACTGTTGGGCAGTTGTTTTCAGACCAAGTCCATGAAAGTTCAGGTTTTTTTTTTTACATGTTTGACTTCAAAGGTGTTTTGTCTTTTAGTCTTTTAGACTAAAAGCTCATATTTTTAAGACAAATGCCCTATTTTACATCTTAAACTGGGAGCACGGTGGTATCTTACCGCCTGATCACGCAGGAGAAGACCACACCAGACCAGGACACGATTCACTTCACGACTCGTCTGAGATTATTTCAAAGCTCACACGTCACATAAAGCTCATACGCAGCTGATATGATTCCTTTTTTCCTCTGTGTGTAATTCACCCTGAGAGGGCCGGAGTCGGGTGATCCGTCAACTCATATTAACGCTCTTGATCTTACTGTGGCTTCAGAAAAAAAAGAGAAGTATTTGTCGTCTGGGCTGTAGAAAAATGAGATGGACTTAAGCGGTCCTAGTCGATGTCTGGGGTGACGGATTGCTCCTAAACGTGATTAATGAGACTTGGCAGATAGAAGGCAGACAGAGGCGCAGCCATGCTGCCTCATCATGCCTCACGTATATTTAAGTAACTTTTCTTGTTGGTGTTTGCGCCGTAATGGCCTCTCCGGGGATTCCAGCAACTCGTTCTTAAGCTCGTCTGCCAACGGCCGGCCTGTTAGACGTCTTTCGTTGTCCGCTGGAGGTGTTGGTGCTAACAGGAAGTTCTCACTCATCTCATTTAGCAGAAAGCGTTTCTCTTATCGCTCCTAACAAGCGCCTGAATCCAGGAGGATTTCTGAAACCCCTCAGGGATCAGCCGTTTGGCAGCACGAGGCTAGGAAGTAGGTGTCCAACGCGTGCTTTAGGAATTCCTGTTGGCATTTCCGTTTGATCCCTATTTGCTCGTCCACCTGCGTTCCTTCTCTACCAGAATGCGCCAGGACAGTAGGCGTCTTGTAGAACACCGGTCCATACTTGGGTCTCCGCTGCTCCTCAGCTGTCGGCGTGTTAAGGTTGGGTTGAAACTAACCATGCCCTCTCCTGGAACCTTCTAAAATGTGATGATTTTTATGCTGAGAAGAGGTTTGTGTCTCTGCTGTACGACGTAGTCTCTGGGGGATCTGTTCTCCGGGGGTTCTGCATCAGCGCGCTGTGCCGTTGCAGCTCGGAGGAAATGGAAAGTAAACGGTTTCCCAGTTCTGAGATTAAACTCCTAGTGACTGAAGTTAAAGTTGGAATGTGTTAGGGTATGTTCAGTTCATCTCTCAGTGTACGTGTTGGAGACTTTTATTTTGAAAGATTGAAGGAAGTAATAGGGTGCGTTTCCGTTATCAGAACTTTGAGGTAAATTTACAGGAGCTTCCCGACGTGCGCGTGTCTCCCGCTGACCGGGCCAGCGACACGGCCGTTTTCAGGTACTTCCTGAGCTCAGAACGGCCCGGTGGAGCAGCTGAGCAGCACTTTTGGTAACCTCACCCTGATTGGATGTAACTCAGTAGGAAGTTACATCAGCAGACGTCGTCCAAAACACCTAGCGTTGGTGAAATTAGAAGAGTTGCTGGTGAAGCAGACTGGAAGCAACAGAAAACCAGCCCAGATGACACTTAGAGTTAAACTCCAGACACCAGAAATACGGGGAATTTCCCCCATAAAGACTTAATTGCCAGGGCCCAATTGTTTCACAGAGCGCTGTAAAAAAAAACGGAGCTTCTTCTGGTCATTGAATGCCACATTTTACATCACAACGCTACTCTTGAAATTATGATATATTTTACCAGAATAGGTGCTTTTAATGTTATTCGTGTTGTTTTGGATGCTTTTTGGCGCTGATCAGTGACGCCACTCACTGTCGAAGCGGTCCCGTAAGCCGACGTCTGTGCAACGTTCTGAAAAGGCTGAATTTGGGTGTAGACAGAACAGCTGAGCGGACCGAGACGTCGAATCTCCCCCTCCCAGAATGTGTCCTGAAGTTCTGGCAGTGGAAACGCACCTAGTGAGTTCTCTGGTGATGAAATGTGCCACAGCAGTTACTTCACACTGGTTCACCCATTGTTTTTGTAGTTTATCCAGTAAAGGTGATGAATAATAAATCAAGCTTTGTTGTTATTGCCGTTTGAATGTGTGCATTATCAACATCACAAAGGCACGTTAGGACCAGTATTCCTCATAGGAGCTTGTTTTTTGGTCTAGTCTGCATTCAGCTACAGGCTCCGCCTGCTAAGGCCTCATTTGTTGAGTTGTTTTCAGTAAAACAGGAAGTATTTTTGAGCACCGTAGTGCTGGATCAGAAGCAGGAACGTGTGGCTTTATGATGAGGTCACTGGAATATTCGTCAGCCTTGAGGTTTCCTGCTCCTGCTGTATTGACTTTAATCTCAAAACGCCATGTGAATGGTTTTCCTTCTGCGTTTAGGCGTTATTCCAAGGCTCATATTGGTAACGTGTCCAGAGCCTAGCTGCTTTCAGCTCACGCCTACCTGCAAGGCTGTCCCGTTTGCATCTAGGTGCCGTTCTCACTGTCCGTCAGTCTGGAGCTGAGCAACTCGATCTGCTTTGAAACCTTTGATGTCGTACGAGCAAGCTCTGAGAATGTGAGATCAAAAACCCATAAAATGGCACCACTGGGAAACGCTCAACATCTTCTACGTTTTGACAGCTTTATTTATCGTTCTGTTGTAAAATGAATATTTAAATGTCTCTGTTGGCTTGTTGCAGAGGTGGTGAGTGAAATCCCAGCAGGATGGGAGCTCCAACAACACAGGCAGTGAACCGATGCAGTAAAAAGCATCGTTTATACAAAATGATCTTCCTCGTTTAGAGGTCCCCAGACCTGGAAGAGTTTAAGTGCAAACAAAAGACTCCACATGAACCATAACCACGCACCATTAGTCTCCTCCCTTCTTCTGTGTGTTTTTAACTAAGTGGTTAAAGCACGGCCTCCGGGCTGTAGACCGGATCTTACATAATACAAAGATCTCATCAGCGTCCTCCGTCCTGTTCCCAGTCTGCTGAAGGACTAACCCGGTTTTCCTTCTCAGGTGACTCCATCCTCAAAGATCGTGGGTGACCTGGCCCAGTTCATGGTGCAGAACAACCTGACCCGCGCAGAGGTGGAGGAGAGGGCGGACGAACTGTCCTTCCCACTGTCTGTGGTGGAGTTCCTGCAGGGATACGTTGGAATTCCTCATGGAGGATTCCCTGAGCCGTTCAGATCCAAGGTACTGTACATTCACACGTGCATATCCAACATATTTTCCCATTTTAGTGCTTATAGCATTGTGATTGTTAAGTGTTGGTATGTCATTTTTTCTTCTGTAAGTTTCCTTTTTACTTAGAACCATACTGGAACTGCTAACCGCCCGTTTGAAAACACTTGTCCAAGTGCCAAATGAATGGTTCCACATGACAGCTGAGACTCTTGAAAGGGATAAAACTGAAGTCTGTGTAATTGCTACGTCCTGCTTCTCCTTTTCATCTCGTTGTCTTTTCCTTTCACACCTCCAGACAGACAGGTAGGGACTCGCGCGCGTCAGGAGCCGTCACTTAGAAGTCTCTTTGGGAAGCGAGTACGACCGCCACACATGAACAGACCCAAACGTGTTGCATTGTTCCTGAAACTGTCCGACAGATCCGGCGTTGTTGACATTTACAGAAGGGAAGTGGTTTGATTTTTCACAGGACGTAATCGGATGGTTTCCCTCTTGGCACCAGCACACACACACACACGTCTGTGAAATATCTGGCGAAAGACGATGCCTGTTCTTGTTAAAGGTCACCTATTTTTCCCCTGTGGCTGCCAACAGTTGGCATATTCTGCTGGATTTCTGCAGAAACTGATGTATTGTGATAATTGGTTCTCCTCCCATGAAGCAATCTTTTTATCCTGTCAGGTTCATGATTTTAATTTGAATCATTGCTAAATCTTTACAGTCAAACGCCGTCCATCCATTTCTTCCTGCAGTTTTCTGCTGCCTCTGTGGAACGGACTCCCATCGCGCCGCCAGCCTGGCTTTTCTTCTCGTGACTCTTGATTCTAGTCATCACAATGGCGTTTTTTACAGGAAGTGATTTCTCTTTGCGTGTGAACCTTTTAGTGACCTGAACTGGCCTTTATGTTTGTAAAAGCCCGCGGCTCAGACTGGCCCAGGAAGGTCCTGGGTTCAGTCAGTACTCGGATACTTCTGCTGAGAGATGCACACATGAATGCGGAAGGCCATTTTATCTTTTTCCCTCAGCTGTTTATTCTGTCTTGATGTATTTCAATGACACATTATTCATTTTTAAACAGTGCACCATATCAGGGCCTTGCATTAGTTTACAGTGAATTCTGATCACGCAGTCAGCTGATGCCCGTTTGTCATTGCAGCCGCAAAAATCGGGTTATCTGTCTTATTTTGTTCCCAAGCAGTCCAGCTTTCTTTCATCTTTGGCCTCGATCAAAATTGTCCTCAGGTTTGTGAAGGTCTTTCAAAGTGTTGACTTGGATTTTGGTTTATTTTTGCCCAAAAAGCAGAATCTTTTATGAGTAATGCGTTTTTAATGCTAAGCGACCTAAATCTGGCTTACGAATCAAGGATTTAAAAAGTTACTAACTCGGCGGATGAAGCGGAGCACATTTTAAATGCTAGCGCTAACAAGCTAATGCTAACATGAGCCAACTGTCATGGGAGAGTAGCGCCCCCGGATGTAGCGTAATTATTTGTGAACTCGTGAAGAAGTAATTAATAATAATTAATTCTAAACTAACACGAAGTGGATAATTCTAATAAAGAGTGGCTGGCTACGTCATTAAATGTATTATTTATTTGATGTTCTGTATAAATATACAATATTAACTTGCTTGATCTTTATTGTAAATATCAGAAGATTCTAGGATTTTTGCTTTATTATGTAATTATACACACTTCATCTTTATTCAGAAAAGTCAGGTTTATAATTGTAAGAATTCATTTTAGAAACAATTAAAACACGACAAGTGAACTAAGCATTTTACTGTGAATGGATGGAGCTAAAGGTGACGTAGGAACCTATGTGTAAATGCGGTGTTGGCCAGAACTTCTGAATCTGGGAAAGCGGCGTCTCCGGATGAAAAAGAATTTGGTTTGTTTGCTCTAAACTATGAAGTTATCTTCAGAAGCACATTCAGACGCAACCTCTCTGTGTTCTGCCTCACCCTTTTGATGACACTCGTCACAGATCCGGAGGTCAGAGAGGTCGGATGACCTCGGGGCACCCAGGTTGGAATCAGCTTGCGTCTCAGGAATAAGGAGTTGAACGATATCAGCTTTGTTCTGCAGGAACTGTTTGCGGTCTCAGCTTTGTAGGTGCAAACAGGTTTTGATGACGTGTCAAAATCTTTGATGGTTAAAGAGATATGCTAAAGATGGCCGGTCTAAAGCTTTCTCTAGAACTGGCAATTCACTCAAAGTGATTTAGTTTTAAAGAATTTATGTTATGAACACACACACACACACACACACACACACACACAATTTCAGGAAAGAAGCAGATGGTAGTGATGTGATGTTCACGAACGAATCGAATCATTTGAACGGATTTCCAAAGTGAACGATGAGAGCCGAGTCCCTGTAGAGAGCCGTTCATCTCGTCTTTCTGTAACAAACCTCCCCGGAAGTCTGTAAAGTGCACCTGCTCAAACCCCACCCACCCCTGTGACAGACGTAGGAGCAACGCTAACCAACCCCGTGCGCCCTCATGGACACTGCAGGAACATGTTGCTCTTAATGCGCCCTCCCCCCCCCCCCCAATCACGTTGGAGTGAAGCTCTCCGTGATGAGCTGGTCTTCATAGAACCATAAAGACAAATGTTGATCAAAGCTGCTGCAATCTTACCTCAGTCTGGCTGGCTGAAAACAAAGGATGTGGTGTGCTACACTGTATGTTAAGCTCTAAACCCCAAATGCAGTGAAGTAATCACTCCCTAGTAGTCTAAATGAACAATTAGCTTTATTGCCCAATATTTTAGTTTCCTTTCATGTGTTCTAATATGTACTGACAGGGAAATCGGCTTGCTGGGTATAAATCTGATTGTGACATCTCATCTTTCAGTAGACTCCTTGTAGAAATCTAAGTATCTAATTTACATAACTTTTAATTTAAGTTTTATTAGCGCAAACACACACACACACACACAGCTGCTCTGTACGTGTCTCACACTCTAAAAATCAAGGACTTTAGGTGTCAGACATCCTCGGAGGAGACGCTGTTAATGAGCTGGGACTCCGGTGAGCGCCCCATCTTTGAAGCGCCTCGCTGTAACACAAATGACTCAGCTATCTCTGAACTGTTAGACCTGTGACTAATAGCATTGCGCCGAGTCTTTTGTCTGCGTGTTTCCACAAGGTACGCGCTCTCATGAAGATATGATACAGCACTCGCGCTGGCTGCTGAACGATATGCACACACACACACATTACAGAAACACACTTGTGCTGTATCAACCCAGGGTTGTGGGTTTTTGTCGGAGGACACGCAGCGCTACTTAACCACAAAATTAACAAAAGTATGTGAGCTCGGGGCGATGATTAGCAACGATTCTTTTAAGCTAATTCTCCCTCTCACACAGAAGTGTGTAGGTGTGCTGAAAGCTTCATCTTGCATATTTCTCCACATCAAAAGCACAGAATAAATAGGCTCATTATAAAGAGCTCCCTCCCCTCTTTGTCTCAGACTGCTCACACTTTGTCTGGAAAAATTAGAAGAATGTACTGAAAATATTACCAAAGCTGGGGTGGCTCATCGTTCCAGCAGCCCCGAGGCTCGACTGCTTTTGTCTTCACATCAAGTCCTCGCTAAGCAGCGGTTGCTTCCTCAGTTTATGTGATGGACCAGCGAGTCACGTTTATTGTATAGCAGCGGATTCCGACTCGTCGTAGATTCTGACCTAATATCTCTGACTCTTTCCTCAAACGCGGTGCTTGTTGCACACCTAGAGGCACGCACAGCAAGAGCGGTACCCACAAGAAGCTGTTATCAACACCGTTCGAGGTCAGAGGTCCACTCACAGCCAAGAAAACAAAGGTGTTGCTGGGATCACCTTTGTGTCTCCTTGAGCGATGAAGTATCTGAAAGCAAAGCACAATACAGCAGAGATCATGTCCTTTTCTTCTACCTGCTCCAGGTCTATACTTTCTTTTTAGATGTTGTTTATATTCTGTAGGAAAACTTCATTGATGCTGTCAGTGGATGTTTTAGGAAATCAAACTTCTATCTTAAAACCACACTTTTAAGCCTTATATTAACAATGGTGAGATAAGATATAAAGAAACAATTTAAAAAAAAGACTAAATATAAAAACACTGGTTGGAGCCCCCCCCCCCCCCCCCCCCCCCCCCGGAACCAGCCTGTTCGTCTTATAAAAACAACTGATGAGACCCCAGGGCTAGAATTGAAATACAGTATTTACAGATGTCCTCTTTGCCAGTTGGAGGTTATAATGAAACTGATAACAGTTGAGCGTGAAAATGCCCGAGCAGGAACCCCCCCCAAACACACACACACACACGTTTATAGCTGCTGCAGAAGCTGTGGCTGCCATAGACTTCAGTCATATTTCTGCACATTCTCCTCAAAACTCGCATTCTCATTAGATTTTCTGTCAAAGAATGAGAGGTTACCATGGTGACCTTAATGAGCCACTTGCAGCAACTTTAACATTTGTTCTAATCTCTGATCTTACGTTCCCTACTGTTAGTTTTGTCTCTTGCGCTAGGATTGTGACAATGCTGATGTTGGATTTTCAGGAAGTAACTGCGTTGGTATGGCCTGGCAAGTCATCCTGTCTATGTCAATAGGTAGTCTGGCCATGACCCATTGACGGATCTGTCGTGGGACATGATCTACGGTTGTCTTTCAAACCGTCTCTGCATGCTTTTGGACAACGAACAACGTGACATACTCACTGCTACAGATGTCCGTCAATGGGGAAGTCCTCCATACACTGTTGAAGACTCAAAAACATCCTTTGTCTAAATAAAGGACTTAAGTAAGTACCTCTATCTGCCCTTGACTCGAAGAAAAGTCCAAGTCCAAATGGTCCGAAGTTGATGTCAAAGCCGATTCAAACAAGCCTTCTCTTCCTCAGTTGCGGTAACATCCCATTCACCAAACCAGTAAAGGGCTGTGACTGGCCCACCAAACCAGTAAAGGGCTGTGACTGGCCCACCAAACCAGTAAAGGGCTGTGACTGGCCCACCAAACCAGTAAAGGGCTGTGACTGGCCCACCAAACCAGTAAAGGGCTGCGTTTGGGACACCAAACCAGTAAAGGGCTGCGTTTGGGACACCAAACCAGTAAAGGGCTGTGATTGGGACAACAAACCAGTAAAGGGCTGTGATTGGGACAACAAACCAGTAAAGGGCTGTGATTGGGACAACAAACCAGTAAAGGGCTGTGATTGGGACAACAAACCAGTAAAGGGCTGTGTTTGGGACACCACCAGACTGGTCTGGGCTGCAGAGGTTCTAATGGAGTGTGGCTAGACCAACGTGCAGAGCAAACTCACTTTGGTTCTGCTACAGTTGGTCTAGGTTTCTAGGCTAGCGTTGGTACCCTTCAGTACCCTTGGTCCATTAGTCTTGGCTCTGGTATGAGAGCTGCTCTGGGCTAAACACAGCAGTACTCATTAAACTTGGGCTGATTGCTGCTGAACTGCTCGCCTCCTGCTTGGTGTCGCATTAGCTCCTCTTCATCCCTGTTGTTGGTGGCGTGACCGACCTTAAACACAGCAGTGAGTTGAGATTGGCTGATTAAAGTCAAACTTTGGTGGAAAACCTTCCTGTGGTTGACACGGATGTGTGTAAACATAAAACCCAAAGTTTTATTTTTCCACTTGATTCCAAGCTGTTCCGTCTTCATTCCTTCTCTAAAACACACCACTTTAATGCTTTAACAGGTTTCAACTGTTATCCAAAGCTTTGCAGTACGTTGTGAATATTTTACCATGGCACTTTACATCTCTCAGACTTCATCATCCCACTGGGAGGTTACTAAATTCACTCTCTTGCCATTTTAAATGAAAACTTTTTAAATAATTCCTCCTCCTCTTGTTCTGAGGCTCATAATGTTCTTACTGCTTTACTCCCATCCCAGGTGCTGAAGTCCCTTCCACGTATCGAGGGTCGTCCTGGGGCCTCGCTGCCTCCAATGGACTTCAAGGCTCTGGAGGAGGGACTCCGGGCCGCTCACGGTGACGACATCACCCCTGAGGATGTGATGTCAGCCGCCATGTATCCCAAAGTGTTCCAGGAGTTCAAGGAATTCACTGGTGAGGGGGCGGAGTCCATAACGGATGTTTTGATTTGAAAGGAGTGAGGTCCTGGTTATAGGCTGATGTCACCACATGTTGTTGATTATATTGGTTCTTTTTCTTTACTGAACGCTCTACAGTCCCTGTTAACCAGTAACTGTGACTGGGCAGTGTGCACTCTTACAGGAGTACTAACGCTAATGCCGTCTAACAGTTTTTCATTTTCTGTAGCTAACTTCGGACCCGTGGATTGTCTCAGCACCAGGCTGTTTCTGGATGGACCCAAGATTGCAGAAGAGTTTGAGGTACATGTGGCTCTTGTTGATGTTCTTTATTTGCAGCAGGAGTTAGCCTAGCTTCTAGTTCAGTGTGCAGCACTTACAGTCCAAACTGTCCGACATCTCCTCCAGAATAACCCAGTAAGAAACTATTGTTCTTGTAAAGGGTTGCGAGAGCTTTGCATGACCCAATATGTCTGAGACTGGAGTTGCTTTATCACATCATGACTAGCTGTTAGCTTGTCGATCCAATCTGAGCTAATTCAATTCAATTCAATTCAAAAATACTTTATTAATCCCAGAGGGAAATTGATTGCTGCAGTAGCTCAGAATAATAATAATAATCAAGTCATCAAAGAGTTGTTGTATATTACAATGGCTGTTGGCAGGAAGGATCTCCAGTAGCGGTCAGTGTTGCAGCCAAACTGAAGAAGCCTCTGACTGAAGACACTCTTCCGTTGTCGGACAGTCTTGTGAAGAGAATGCTCAGGGTTGTCCATCATTTTCTTGATTCTCTGGAGAATCCTTCTTTGCATTATCTCCTCCAGCGGTTCCGAAACCGCCGAAACTCTGGCTGAGTCCTTGAAAGGGCTTGGAGTTCCTCCATCTTGTTGGCCAGTGATCTCACATTGCCCATTATGATCGATGGAAGAGATGGGTCGAGTTTCCTCTTTCTCTGTCTCCGTTTTGCTCCCGCTCTGCACCCACGCTTCTTGCGTTTTAGCTCATTTGGGATTCGTGGCTTCAGTTGAGGTATTATTTCAGCCTTTCCAAAGATAATCTGCTGCTCCCGATTGTAAACCAGCTTGTTGCCATGGTTACGCATCATAACAAATGCTTAAAAAAATGAAAAAAGCTAAAAAATAGCAGTAAAAATCCTCCAAGCTTCATAGCACCAGAAACAAAAAAGTAAAATGTCCAAAAAAATAGTTTTTCTTGAGAAACTAGAAGAAAAAATTAACCAAGAAAAGGCAAAACTTACATATAGTCAACAGAGCTACTCCAACATGCAGCCACCCAGAGCAGCGCAGTTCTTCAGGTCATGGAAGTATCTGACTAGAGCAAGTAAAATATTTCTGTATTTTCCAACAGAAGCTCACCTCAGAAGCTCTGAATGCAGATACAGGAGCATCATTACATTAAAATCAGTCCGTTCGTTAAACGGATGAATACTTTAAATACATTTTTGAATCTATTTAATGAGGAACCCGGAGGTGGTGCTTTAGCGGTTGAGTCACCGCTCGTCTCTCTCGAGCTTTTCTGTACAGGCAGCAGTACGTTTGTTTTTATTGGTTAAACTAAATCTGTCTCTTGTGCACAGGTGAAATGATCGTTTTCACACTGAAAGAAAGTCGGTTTACTCTCCTCCGTTACCTTTCACAACATTCAGAGAGCTTCTCATCTTCACTCTGTGCCAGACTCAGCTTGGTTATTAATCCAGAGTAACACATCACTCATCAGAAATCACTTCCTCCCACGCACTTCTCTCCTCCTTTCTTTCAAAGTGATTCCTTTTTCATTCTCTTTATGAGCAGCTGGGAGATCTGACTGACGCTGATTCAGAGCGGCCAAAGGCAGCCTTGTAGTTTCTGCCTGGTGTTAATTGATTCTTTTATTAGTAGCATCGAGCACTCTGTTGCTTTATAATTATTATTATTATGAAAAAAAACCTGCTGTGATGATGTCATTTTAGTATTGACGCTGTGGGTGAGCAGACCACCACCACCACCCCCCAAAGCTGCTGTTTGTTGGCCTAAACTCTTCGTCTCCCTCCCGTGCTCCTGCAGCAGACCAGATACGAGTGTCTGGGATAACGATGTTTAAAAAGCGAAACTGAAGCCAGAGTACGAGAAAATAAATGACTGTTTTAATTTTTTTTTGTCTTGTAAATTGGAACGTCTGCTTGAACTGATTTTCTTGAACAAAACAGCATAATAACTAGGGATGGGTACCTTTGACATGTGAATCGATTCGGTACTAATTCCCGGTACCTAGGAATCGATACCGGTACTTAACGGTACCAGTTTTTGATACTTTAATTCTCTTTTATAATTAAATGCATATTTTTCTCAATATATAACCATATTTGATAAATATCAGGATAAATAACATACAACTGTTTGTATTTTAACATCGTCCTTGTAGTTTTATAAGCTGATAATTAAACTGAAGCAAACATCTTTACTGTGAACTAAATTTACTGTGTATCTTCATTCCTTTTGCCGTCCTTTTTCATTTGATTTTTCCTACTGGGAAGTTAGAATTTCCGAGGAGAAAGCGAACGCACCATTAGCTGATAACAATGGTGGCAATGGAAGCTAATTTATCAAGCTAACGTTATCTTAAACAGTTTATTTAGCTGCTGGAGCAGATTAAAACGATGATGCCGCACACTTAGATTGTTGTCGCTGGTTTTATCTTCACCCAATCACCCGTCGCATTTAGTAAAGTGAAGCCAAACTTTAGAGCGCGTTCATGTTCTTCTAGTCGGAAATTCGGAGTTCCGAGGAGAAAGCGAACGCACCGTTAGCAGAACGGAAGCTAACATGTCAAGCTAACGTTGTCTTAAACATTTTATTTACCTTTCCATGCTGTCGTTCTTTTTTAAAACACAGAAACAGTTGCGTTACCTGTTTTCCCGTTACGTTTCGTCTGCGGCTGCAAACTTCCTCAGGCTGGCGCTGATGGTGGCGTCACTTCCTTCTTCGTTTATCCGCGGGCAGCAGAGGACGTTGTCGCCCTCTACTGCCCGCTCTCCCCTCTCAGATGATGCAGTCCCATGCGCGATCCAACGTGTAAACTCCGTCGTCCCTGTTCATGGTCCCACATCCACGTCTCCTTATCTCGATTGCTTCTTTTATCCATCTGTTGTATTTTTGTTGTTCTGTGTTTACGATCCTTGTGTTGTCCCAGTCCATTACATGGTTTTCTCTTATGCAGTGATCTGTTACGGCTGACTTCTTTATTGTACTTTCTGCTTCTTGTTTTGCTGCTCTTGTGTGTCTTTGACTTGTTTCTTTCTCGCACTCCTTTCTATGTTCTATTGTTCGTGTGTTGAGTTGGCGTCCGGTTTCTCCTACGTATGTTTTATTGCAGAGTTTGCATGGGATTTCATAAATGACTCCACATTTAAGTCCAGCTGGTATCTTGTCTTTTGGGTGTACTAGTCTGTTTCTAACTGTTGTGTATGGTTTTGTTGGTGTGTTTGTGTTGTGTTTTTTCATTGTTGCTCTTATTTTTTCTGTTATGCCTCTGATGTATGGTAGGGTTATCACTGGTTTTGGTTCTTGTCTTTCTGGGTTTCTGGTTCAGACAAGACCAAAACCAGTGATAACCCTACCATACGTACTACTCTGGCTTTCTTAGATCAGATTTACTGCCAAGAATCATCGTAAAGAAAAGATCAAGAAAATACAAAAGTTCTTCCTTTGCTTCATAGTGTCTCTGGGGAGAGGGATGTCCGGTCCTCCTTTTGACCTTGGATTAGTAGAGATAGACGAATTGTTGAAGAAAATGCATTAATTTATCACGACCTTTAACCCCAGTGAATGACAGCTGCATCTTTGTCCAGACATTCCACTTACTCACCACCCTAACAAGCCATCACTGATAGTGGAATTAAGCTGCCTCATTGGAAGACACTGCGGTTGGGATGTGAGCTGGATCTGTAGAGACGTCGTGTAGGTGGTGGTGTTTGTCAGGTTGTCTGGGTAATTGTGAGTTGCTCCTAAGAGGGACATTTATTTTAGCGCTGACGCGTGGCAGCTTTTGCAGTGCTGGCTGATTTGTAGAACTACAGGAGGTCGGGACAACGCCCAGACAGAGATAACGCGTCGCCTTGAAGGCACGAGGACGTTATCAGAGCAGATTTGGGGATCAGATATTTGAGCTTTGAGCTACAGCGGAAGCTGGAGCTGGTGAGGTTATGGGAGTTGTACATTAAAGCTCTTACAATACGTGTTTACTGCTTTTTGGCTTTTCCACGATCTGTGCATAGGAGGTGAGTTTCTGACTGATTAATTTTCCTTATTTATGATCAACTTGAGCATAAGTAAGATGGGGATTTGGTTGTTTTTAGAAGAAATACATGACTGGATATTTTCAGTTTAGAGAAATTAGCATAAAGAAGTTCAGGGAGGATCTGCTTGATGCAGGGTGGGATGAAAATGAACACACCCGTCATTTAACTCGGTTTAAAAAAGTAAAAAAAATAAGTGACTGTTACAATTCTAACAGCAATGTGATTTTATTTTTAATATCTAAACAGATAGACGTAGCCATAGTTTAAATATGTTACATAATCCAAAATAAGTCGACAGCTCTGTCCTGTCTATGAAACCGAGACCTAGAACATTCAAACTGTCAACAAAAACGTCTTCCTCTGTGGTTTTTCCCTGTAAAAAGTTTCAGAACCACAGATTTAGACCTGTAAAAACCCATGTAGTCAATCTGATTCAGATCCTGTGTTGCCAACTGTTTTTGACTGAAAGTAGCTGAAGTCCCCCCCCCCCCCCCCAAGTCGCTAGATGTCGCCAGATGACGTCACGTGCTAATTTACATATTGATGGCGTCACCATTCCACATTGGCATTCATTTTCCCCATAGCATGTTTTAGTCCTATATATATATATGTATATATATATATATATGTATATATATATATATATATATATATATATATATATATATATATATATATATATATATATATGTGATTATATATATATATATATATATATATGTGATTATATATATACTGTATATATATATATATATATACACAGTTTATATATATATATATATAATCACATATATATATATATATATATATGATTTTATATATATATATATATACTGTATATATATAATATATATATAATAACGGCGCACCGAGCAACAGGGAGCCGGTGTCTCATGGTATAACCATCCCTGTGTCACTGAAGGAAATCCAGATCAGCAACAGAGCTGCGTGTGTAAACGGGACGGTAGTTGAAACTCCCGTTGACTTTATTTGCCAAATGCAGGAA